AAAAATACCCTGTAATAATTAAAGAACATATTAATTAGTAAATTCTCACTAAAAACTGAGTTAGCTGTGATATGATATGTCTACAACTACTCGCAATACCCTGTAAATTAAAGAGTGTGACAAGGAGTGGAGGTTACCCCGCCCCGCCACGCCACACCCCACCCCACACCTCATGTGTTCGAGAGCTTTTTGCATTTACATTTGCTGGCATTTTAGTCATATGTCAATATCCTCTTTGAGGTTTATTGTGGGCGTAACTTAAATGCTTGACTTGGCTTATCGCAGTCCCAACTCAGGAACGCCCTGCGCAAAGTTTCGAGTTTATCATTTTTTATCTATATTCACATCTACATATATATATATATATATATACACATATAGATTTTTTGTTTTGTTGCTGATTTATTTGCATGTGCTTGCGAAGAGTTAATAAATTTCAGTTACATTGAACTCTTATCTGGGACAGCAACGCAAAGTTTACGAAAATCGAAAGTTTGTGGCAAAGTTTGAGCAAGTTAGCTCGCAGGTAAACCTATGTCAATTTGATTAGTTGGGGGTTTGAACCACTAAGCCCGAATCCCAAGCCCAATCCCACCTCCCAACCCCACTTCATGGGTACGGTAGATAAACCACAGCGTGTGATTTTTTGAGACAAATATTCCAAATGAAATGAAATACATGCGCTTTGCAGCTTCCACTATCAGTTGGCATTCATAAAACGATTTGCACTTCATCAGCAGGCCAAAATGATAAGCTTGAATTGTTGGCTCTGTGTGAGGTTGGGGCTGGGGTTGTTTGGGTGTGGCTGGGCGGGTAGCAGCCGCAAATGCAAATTTTTAAAGCCACAGCAGAAAGCTAAAGAGTTCAGCTAAAATTGGTACAATTCATAAATGCGAAAGCTGAAATACACTTTAGTTAAAAGCTATATTCCCAGCTTTTGAGCGTTTGTAGAGAATTGAGCTTACCTATGTCGATGGCACTTGAAGGCAGATGTTTCGGAGTTGCTTGAGCTTAAGCTACTCAAGGCACATCATTGGCCCATAGAAGCCACTATTTCTATGCCCTTAGAACTTGATGACAGTTTTAAAAACCTATTTAAGCTCTTCATGCCATATCGTTGAGACTTCAATCATATTTCTTTACGCAACATAACTCGCTAAGAGCCGTTGGCTATAGAAGACATTTATATAGAAAATCTTTTTAGTACTTTTTTAATTAACCAATGGAAGTTTAAGCCGAGATATCTAATTGTATTTTTAGCAGCAGATATATTTTTCAGTGGCAACACGCTGAGATTTAACTAGTCAAATTCTTACTTCTTAAGAATAAAAAAGTTTCTTTAGACAAAACTTAGCTCTATGCCAGAAAACTTAAAGTTCAGCAAAGTGTAATTAGAGGATATATTATTTCTATATCATTATTTATTTATATATTTACGTGTTTACAAATATTTAATTCCTATATATATTAATACATTTTGCTCAATTTCTTTATAGATAAAACAGCTCTTCATATAAGAATTTCAGTTTCAAGCGCTATTTGCTATGCCAGCCAAATCAGTATAAAATCTCTTGTTTCAAGTAGAGATATTTTTATATAATAAATATTAAAAATAAATTTATTAAATTGTTAATGATTTTCTCTGAATTGAAATTGCTGAAAAATTATTTCTAAGCTACATCATTACATTCGCAAGCTAAGCAATAAAGTTGCTGCTTATCATTGCATTAAGCTGAGCATATGTATTCCCAATGCACTGCCACAACTTGTTACAAGCTGTCTAAGAAAATGAGTCAACCCGCGGCTAGAGTAAACGACACCAAGAATAAAAAAGGAAGAGGAGGAAACCTAACCAAAACCAAACCAAATTTAACTCAGCTCAACTAACTACAAACCGAAATAATTGTTACCGACACTGACACAACTTCTGCAGCAGTAGCAGTTGCCGTTGCGAGTTGCTGTTGCGAGTTGCTGCTGCGAGTTGCTGTTGCTGCTGGCTGATAGCGCAGACAAACGTCCCGCAGCAATTGAAACAACAGCGTGAATGGCGGCATGTTGGATTTGGTTAGAAACGGATGCAATCCAAATGGCGAATGACGGCAACTGGCTCCTGGCTGATGAGTGGTGCTGGGTGGTGCTGTGCAAACTTGGCAGCACAAAGTAAAGTTATTTGCGGTTCATTATTCACTTTTGGATTTTATTTTCTTGCTGGCAGCAACACGATCGAAGCCCAACCTGATGGACAGCAGATTGAGGCAGCGTTGCGAACTGACGTCGAAGCACGTCAACGTTTGTTAACTTGGCCAAAATCGCAATTGCATGCAAAATGATTTGACTGCTCCCAGGGTGGCGTCGGAATGGGCGGCACTCTTAAGGCAAGCGCAGCGACATTTAAATAGAAAATTTTTGGTCGACTGAAGTCGAGAGGAAAGCGTAGTCAGTCGTGGTACATTTTTGCTCTTTGCTTATTCATCTTGCAAGTTGGAAAAATAAATTAATAATGCGTTCTTGCCACTGACAGCAGCTGCAACCACAAGGCGAAGGAGAAAGGAAGAGCGAAAGATAGACAAAGAGAGAGAGAGATAGTAGCTGCACTCGAATATTCTATGCGCAGCTTGACACCCCTTGTCCTAAAATTTAATTGCATCTTTTTCAGCAATTCCAGCACGAAATGAAAATGCATGCAAAACGCTCACAGAGCGAGAGGTCTTAAAACCGGCTCCCTGCGTCCCGGTCGCCCGATTGCGCCCCGACTGGCAGCAGTTTAAGCTTTCAGTTAAGTTCAGTCAAGATATGAATACTAATAGCCACTGGAATGTTTGAGTAGCCAAAGGACATTGCACTGTCTGTGTGAGCGTCCCAAGACGCTGCTTCCTTGCCTTGCCTTTCGTTGCGATGTGATTCTTGTCCTTTGGCTCGCATTGGGGTCGTTCGCAGGCAGCAGGCAATGTCATTACTCTTATTTGATACCGTGGACATTCGCATAAATGTCAGATTGAGTTTTGTGCGGCGCCAAAGTTGAGTCCTTGAAATGCATTTGAATGCAAAACTCAATGCAGCCAGTCGCCTCGCTGCCTCGCTGCCTGGCAGACTCGTTGCCTCGTTGCCTCGTTGCCTCGTTGTCCAAGTCCAAGCGCCCGTCCGCAACTCGAAACAAAAACGTTGCGAAGAAAAGCAATTAGCGAAATTAATTGCTTAAGTTTCGCCCTTTGAAATATTTATCTGCTCGACTGACATTAATTCAACAAGGATATTGCCCAACCACAATTTGTCGAGTTCTGCCAATCGAACCGCAGCAGCTTAGCAGTTCTTGCCCATTTCAATGCAACTCTTTGTTGATTGACTCCAAAGCAGTCTCTGCAGCTCTACAGCTCGACCAAGTGAAGCCTTTTCAATCAAGTTATAGAAAACAATATAATTTAATTGCATTTTTCTTATATTCTCCCAGTTTTTTGACAATAAATTTCATATTTTTCTGTGCTTTATGAAAAGATTTTGTAGTACAAAACTTTTACAAAATAAAACTTTCTCTTCAATTATATTTAAATTGAATAAATAAAAACCGAAATCTATATTTCATTCAAAAGTTTTTGCCCAATAATTTACTAATAAATTTTGCTTTTATTTACGCTTTGTAAATTCAGGGCAACTGGATTTGATGCCATCGCAAATATTCAAAGAGAAATTTTAATAATAGATCGAATATCAATTATTATCTGATTTAAATCAGGCTTTACGCAGTTTAAAATCTGTTACAGTTTATGTGTTACATAATAGAATTTATAAAAGTTCTTGCATCGGGAGTGTCCGACTTGGAAACACCTCGTGCCCTGCACAGCGTTGCTTGTTGGACTCAGCTGATAGTTCTGTTCAAGCATATCCGTACCTCATGGGGTCTGTCATGCCTTCCTCTGTCTGTTGGACAGATTATACTATTTTACCTGTAATTATGATTTCCAATGGGTGCAGGCTTTAACAACGAACTAACAACCAATTAAATAATATAAATTAAATTATTGATTTTAATTTGCTTTGCCTCAAACCAACAGCCAGTTAGTCGTCTAACTAAGTATTTGCCTGGAGCTTTAGCCTGTCAGGTGATGAATTAAATGCATTCTTTTCGATCACCTCTCACAAATTGAATTCTAGTTTGAACTGGGCATTGATTGATGGACTCAAACAGTCAGTTAAATCCTTAGTTTATAGGCGAATATATCCTTTCTTTTGCATCATATATATTAAACTATATAATTCCTGAATTTCGCATAGCTTTCTTTAATATTTGACACTTCCTTTACTCAATCAGTCAGTCAATCATTCATATAAATATTTGTATTATTTGCGTTAACTCTCAAAAACTTAACTCAGAGCATCAATCAGTCAATCAGTCTACATGAATATTAGCTTTGGTTTCTTTATCTGTTTTTGGTATTTCACACATCTTGTTGCGCGATCATCAGTCCATCAATCAGTCAATCAGTCTTTACATGAATTTTTACTTTGCTTTCTTAATCTGTTGCTCGATCTTCAGTCAATCAATGAGTCAATCAGTTTTTATATGAATATTTGCTTTGTTTCATTTTCTTCAAGGTATTTCATATATTTACGTCTTATCAATCAATCAATCGGTCAATCAATCAATCAGTTAGTCATCTATTTATTTCCTTACGCTCGCATTGAATAAATAATTCATCTCTCCCAAAACTTAGCTCCACTTCGACCTATGATCATCAATCAGTGAGTCAATCAGTCAGTCATCAATCAGTTCAAATAGATATGCAGATTTCTAAGCTACAGTACTCAGCTTCACCTTTCACAAATTGAATTCCCAACTCGAACCTGTCACGCCTCACGCCCGCGGCTGCAAGCTGTGCGCGCGGCTTTGCCGGGGCTCGTTGACAGCTGCTCCCAGAGAGCAGCGGGCAGATTGCATTACAATCTGAGCTGGACTGGGCTACTTGCGGACTACGACCGCAACCAGGCCACAACAAGCTACTTACCGCTCTCCCAGTGCTGTGTTAGCAGCAGCGCGACGATGATGCCAATGGGCAGAGTGCGGCGCAGGACATCGCTCAGATGTGTCCTGTTGCGGATATGTCTTCGCTTGTCTTTGCATTGGCTAATTGCTGCCATTTTATAGCTGTCTCAAGTTGCTGTTGCTGTTGTTGTTGTTGTTGTTGATATTCCTCTTCTTCTTCTTCTTCGTCTTCTGGTTGCTGTTTTGTTTGTGGTTGTTGGTTGCTGCTCTTGCGGCTGTTGCACTCAATTGGATTTGAAAGAGTTTCGTTTGTAAGCTGCCGTATTCAGGTGCATTGAATTAATTATATCATTGTTGTTGTTGTTGTTGATGTTGTTGCCAAAGTTGCAACAGCAGCAGCAACACTTACACAATTTTAATTATTCAAAATAGGTTTTTAGCACACAGCGTTCAGGGACAGTCCAAGCAGTCGACACTTGCCCAGTGCACTCAATCTCTGTCTCTGTCGCTGTCTCTATCTCCGTCTCTGTCTCTGTCTCCTTCTGCTGCTCAGTCTCTGCCTCAGCCTGAGCTTACGTTTCAGTTGCGTTCACTGTTTTAATTGCTTGTTCTGCTGCAATGCATTTTCCTGTTGCCCGTTTTCCAAAATTTATAGCTGCAAAATAGAAACAAAAAACAATTTATATATACTATATATATAGAACCACAATATGCCCACAGCCGTGTGCATCTGCATGTGTGTGCGTGTGTGTTGTTTAATGCTGCTAAGTCGTTGTGCCCAAATACATAATTCCTATGCAAATAAGCGTCGAGCAAAACCCTGAAATTTATGTGCATTCGCTGCATTTTGCATATCTATGCGAAGGGACAAGTGTGCGAGGGGCGCCACTGCAGTTTATACCAGTTTATCATTTCGGTTCTTGTACAAACTGAAGCGTGCAAAAAAATCTAAACGCTGGCAAAAACCCAGCGCACGCTGCCAAATTAACAGACATTTTTTGGAAACTAAATTTTTTCTGCTGTTGTCTGTGTCACCAAAGCCTCTGTCTCGCTCCCACTTAGACTATCTCTCTTTCGCTCTGTGCACTCAACAGCAAGCCAACTGAAATAATCCTGAAAAATATTGTTGGCTTTGATTTGGCGCGGCTTTTCCAACGGTATTTGCTCTGCATTTTCCTTCGTTTTTCGCCGCTTTTTCCACTTTTTTCCGGCGCAGCATCTACATTTAATATGACATGGCATGACACACACAAAACAGCCAGCGAGTGCGAGAGGGAGAGGGAACAGAAAACATAAACTAACTGCGCATCATTTGCTATAGCCCCGCCACGCCCACTCTTCCATATGCCCGCCCCATAAACAATTCTATTAAAATTAATGTTGCATATTTTTAAGGGCAACGCAGTCCGAAACAAACTTAAATGCTTAACAAATTGTTGCGAATTTGTTAGCAGCTACCTACACTGGGCATATACGGCTGTCTGGATACCCTATAATAAGCAAACATAAATCTCAGAGGTAGCAGCACCAACTGAAAGCAAAGCCAACTGAAGCGAAGCAACAAATTGGGGCACAAGCAAACAAAAGACAAAGCGTGAAGAGAGAGAGAGAGATATATATATATATAAAGATTGTTAGAGAAGGGTAGAGAGAGAGAGGTGCAAATATGCCCAGCAAATATGATTGATTTTATGTGTTTGAGCTGTGCGAAAAGTGGGCGACGACGGCCGTGCCAATGACAAGGCAGGCCTAAAGGATATAGACGGAAATATGCAAGAATACACAGGAATATTACTTATGCACACACACACACGCACACACACACACACACGCGCGCTCACATAAACCCATGCAGAGTTTTTTATGAGCAGGGAAATAAGCAAGGAGCAAAGAGCAAAGGGACGCGGGCAGCGCACGGCTAAACCAAAAGGAAAATCGAAAACCAAACCACAACAACAAGCAAAAGCCACACACACGCATGTGTGTTGGCCATGCGTATGGGAAAATTTGTGTATTTGCCATAAAATAATTTATCAATTGGAAAAATTTTTAGACAGGACTCGGAGCTTAGCAGGAGAGAGAACCCAACAATCAACTGAGAAGAAAATGCTGCACGAGGCGAAGAAAAATGCCCAAGCACTTTATATAAGCGCATGTGTGTGTGTGTGTGTGTGTGTGTGTGTATTTGAGGGTAAAATTATGACAGGAGGAAATAAAAAAGCATAAATTTATTACTGGGCAAACGATGACTACTAAAACTTGGCCACAGGCCCGTTGGGACGTGCGGCACGAGCGGCTGCAAGCGAGCATCATAAATAATCGAAGGGGCGACAATATTGAACCAGGCCGGGACAATGAACGAGGACGCCAAGGATACAGATCCATGCAGCAAAGCAGCGTCGAGTGCACTGACGGCTTTTACCCAACAGCATAAATAAACATAAATACAATTCGATTGCCGACAGGGACAGATACACCGAGCGAAGAAGAGAGCGAAAAATTTCATACAGAAAGCGAGAGAGAGAGAGAGAGAAAGAGAGGGGGGGAGCGGGCGAGAGGATGGGGCAGAAGAGAGCACGCAATGCCACAGCGAGGCCGTCGCGTCGTCAAGCAGCGAAAATAATTGTACGAGTACATACAACAATTTGCCATAACAAGGATATCAAATTTGCGCACTGCCAACAGGCGGAGCGGGCCAAAATAAAAAGGATAACGAGCCACAATAAAAGAAATGAAATCGTAACCCAAACTGTTACTAATTGGACAAAGCAGCCGAAAAAAGAATGAAAGAACGAATGAAAGAAAGAAAAACCAAACAAAAGCAAGAAGAAAAGTGAAAACCAAGAGAAACAACAACAACAGGCGAGTGTCTGTGTGTGTGTGTGTGTGTGTGTGCTGAGTGTGACCCACGACTAAGCATTGGCTAACTGCTAGTCAAATTTCAACAGAGTCCACAAGTTCCCACACACAGCATAAGCAGTCAGTAGCGAGCATAATGCGACCCACTGAACTAGCAGATACCCTGTAGTAAAATCTCATGCGCAGCCATGAATATAGTTAGCTGGACTTAAGACATAGCTATGGCAGGCATGGTCAGAGAATGTCTATTCAATATGTTATGCGAGGCTCTACTAAAAACTTGAAAATAACCTCAAGCTATATATATTATCAATTGAATTAAAATAAATATATTAATAAAGCATTATCATTGAACTGATTTGGTCCTAGACCAATTTTTTTAGTAGTCTCTGATTGCTTCACTTTGTAAAAAGTTAAAATATTTATTTAAATGATTTCACTTAGTTTTTTCTAAGTCTCCTCTTTCGCTTATATTTTTCGGCATTATTAATATTTATTCCTTCCAATATAGCATTTTTAGAGGGAGACTCAACCTATAAAAATTAAGTCTAATTTTCATGACTCTTAGCTGTTCTGAAACTCTCATCAATCTTTTTTTGAAGATATATAGATTAGATAGTTCTGAAAGCAAAATAATCTTAAGATTTCTAGATCTAGCAAATCAATTTAGACATCTTTAGATTCAAAACTTTAATACTATATATTAAATGCATATATTAAATATAATATAAACACATATGAAACATATTTTATAAAATCTCGCAGTAATTTTGATATTACTATACTAACATTTAATATTATTGAGTTTTCGTCACTCTGATATTAAATAAAATACAATAACAATTTTTTTAATTAAATTTTTAAGGCTTCCAAATTTTTTTAAAATATTTTTAAAATATTTAGAAAAACTCTAAATAGTTTTGACAATATTTTATTACCTTTAAAATTATCGTAGATATATAATAAGACAAAAAGACAGCCAAAGCTAGATTTAAATTAAGACTTAAAAATTTGAATATATATATTAAAATTTACATATATATTTATATATATTAATATTTATATATACATTATATGTATATATATATTTATATATATAAATTTTCTTCTCAAATCAGGCAGTACCAGGGCACATGTTCTAAGCATAGACTGAGTTTATTCAAAACCAAATCTAAGAGCACTCACACAACAATTCAGCTTAAACAGATGTGTACCAATATCTGAATAACTTGAGTATGCTACCCTCTCACCATTCCGCCCTACACAGGGTATTCAAAGAAAAAAAAAAACTGAAAATGAAAATGGAACGCCCCGAAAAAAAACGGAGAAATGGAATTGGCTCTGTTAAGTCTAATTTTGCTGGGAGACAAAGTGCTTAAAAAATAATTACGCGCTGGCAATCAAGGAGGCGTCGTTATCGTTGTCGCTACCGGAAACCGGATACGGATGTGCATGTGCGCGAACGATGTCAGCATCCGGCAGACATGCAAGTGGGTGTGCCACGGCAACTGACCGACCATAGTGTGGGATCAAATTGAATTTGGTTTGACTGCAGCAGAAGCGCCTTGCCACAAATTCGCCAAACTTACAAGTAATTAGGCAGCACTCCTCGCCCCTCCCTCGCCACCACCACTGCCTCTCGCAGCTCCCGCTACTCTGTCTATAGCCAAAGGACACAAAGGACACATGCACGCGTCGTCAGTCGCTTGCCTTTTGGTTGATTGTCAGTGCGACTGTTCAGCTAATTGCAGCAGCAGCAGCAGCAGCAGTTGATGCTGTTGCAGTTGCTGCGTTGCTCGTTTTCTTTTACGTGTTTGAGTTGCACTTCGGCCCTTGGTAATTACCAATTTGAGGCGCCAATTTGGCTCTTTGCTGCTGGCCAGCAAAAATTTAATTAGTTTGACAAGCAAATGTCAACTGGGCGTGTGCTGTTTGTATAGCGCAGACACACACACACACACACACACACACTTGAGAACAATCACACACACATACTCAGAAAAAAGTAAGAATGTTGCAGTGCGACTCGACTGCTTAATACTCGCTCAAAAACTGCGAAGATGAAAATTCAAGAAGCGATATTTATAAGCTTGATGCGGCCCCACGGCCCTATTTTTGTCAATTTGCCACGCCTCAGGAGTAGGCGTATAAGTGTAACAAAGGATAAATGTCGCCATTTGTAGAAAGTAAGAAACTTAGCTAAATTTCAAGTCTACAGTTTTATTCAGTCTGCATTCATATAGACACATACAGAAATAGTCAAACGAATATACTCGCTTTCGACTGGTGAACCAGTATATGAGCATTAATGGAAAGGGAAATACTTTTGGTCAGGCCGCAGGCGCCGGGGCACAGCTATTATGAGCAATCGCAGCTAACCCTTTGACCTTTTGTAATCTCTTTAATGACGCCAACAGCAGCACAGTCCGTCCATCCGTCAGTGCGTCCGCTCGTCACTGAGTCGGTCAATCAGTCGGGCAATTTTAATTTACTTTACAAGTGTTCGCCAATTAATTTAATTTAAGCCCTTTGCTCCCGGCAGGCTTACACTTTGACACTTTGACAACAGCGAACTTAAAGGCCGCAAGGATATGCTACGAAATGGCTCAACAGGATTCATTTAACAAACGCAATGTTGAGTTGAGACTAGTCGTGGCACGTTTAGTTTCTAAGCGAAGGTATCTACATATTGCCAAAAGGCGAATGTAAATGTAGAATATATAAAAATAATATAAAATACAAATATAATATAAAATATAAAAATAATATAAAATATAAATATAATATAAAAAATAT